TAAATAAATAAATAAATAAATAAATAAATAAATAAATAAATAAATATTTTTAAAAAGAAGGTGCCATTTAAGGCATTAAAGAATAAGTAGAATCGGGGCGCCTGGGTAGCTCAGATGGTTAAACATCTGCCTTTGACTCAGGCCATGATCCCGGGGGTCCTGGGATGGAGCCCCATGTAGGACTCCTTGCTCAGCGGGGAGCCTGCTTCTCCCTCTCCCTCTGCCTGCTGCTCTCCCTCTGCCTGCTGCTCTCCCTGCTTGTGTGCCCTCTCTCGATCTCTCTCTCTCTCCCCCATCTCTGTCTGTCAAATAAATAAATAAAATCTTTAAAAAAAAAAAAAAGACTAAGTAGAATCTCTACAAAGATGGTAAGGAAGATCCTTGTAGAAGAAAGGATGCAAGCAAAGACCAAGGCAAGTAGGCATAAAGCATGTTCAGAAATAACATTTCCAAGTAACTACTGCAGTTTAGCTAAAAAAAAAAAACAAAAACCAGGATTATGTGAGATAAAGTTAATTTAAAAAAATGAAAGGGACATATTGATCTGACTGGAGCTATGGAGAGCTGCAATTTTGAAAGGTTTTGAATACCACCCTAAATAATTTTAAATGTATTTTGGATCCAATAGAGGGTCACTGAGTGTTTCTGAGGGAAGAGTAACCAGGGACTGCATAAGCTCTCTAACTCTAAGCAGCAGCATGGAGGGGAGTGACTGGAAGGGGGGCAAATTGGGGGAAGCAAGTCCAGTTTGGAAGCCATTGCTATATTGCAAATAAGAGAAGAGAAACACCACATTTAGCACGGAGGTAGAGGGAAAGAAAAAGGGGAGAAGTAAACTGAGACGCTGAAAAAGCAGACTCTATACTTAGGAGGAAGTGTTAGGTAGGAAATGTTAGGATCATTAACGTAAACTTAAAACTCATTCCCTTAAAGGAAACAACCGGAGTTTACCAATGAACCTAAGAGCACCAAGTGAGAAACTGTACCATATTTCATCTTTAACTATCAAAGTTGAATGTTGACTGAAAACCAAAAACTCTGATTCCATTTTCAAATCCTGCGTGTAATAAAACATAATAAAAGATTCAGTCTTTCTACTAAAGTAATGAAATGTAAGTGGTTGGCTAAGCAAGGCCCATTTCAACCTTCAATATCATTCTTTATAGTTCATTTGAACCAGCGTTCCTGAAAGGTGGTTAGTTGGTTAAATAAATGCTATTAAAATCCTCCCTTCCTCAACACTCAGAACCCTCCCCCACAGCATACACGCGCGCGCGCACACACACCTGTTCTGATAGGAATCTCACCTAGCTTCGGACAGCCCCTCCCCATGTACTAGCCTTACCAAGGACAGCCCTTCCATCTCTTGAAGTCCCTGCGGCTTCTTGAGCGCAGGGTCCTCGTCTGGTGGATCGGCGCCTACCACGGGGCTACACTCGGAGCGGGAGCTCAAGGGACGCTCCCCGAAGAAACGACGGCCAGCCTGGCCCACCGGCCACCGGGCTCCGCACGCCCCAGGCTCTGAGGCACACAGTGCCGTTTTCATTCGCTTGACACACCCCTTTCCTCGGGCCCTTTTCCTCCTCCACCCAGCACATTCCGCACGTCGTCCCTGGGAGGTACAACGTGTCACTTCATCCTCTCCCACCCGTGCTTAGCTGGACACCGTCCCCTTCACTCTGACGGACTTTCCCTCAGGCTCCCGCACACCTTTTCCTCCGCCGCCGCCTCCTCCTCCCGGAGCTGCGCCGGACGCCCCGGTAGCCTCTCGCGCTCCGGCCGGCTGCTGCAGGAGCCTGCTGCCCTACGCCCGCCTCCCCCCAGGGCCTCCCCCGCCGCTCACCTCCCGCGCAGCTCGACAAGCTGCCTGCACCCCGGGCGGCGCCTCAGCTCCGCCCGGCACCCCAGGCTGTCCAGCCCGCTGGGTGCCACGCGACCCCTGACGCGCTGAGCCGCCGGCTCCAGCCGCCTTCGCCGCCGCGAGCCTGGTGCGGCCCAGGCGTTTCCGGGTTCCCGCGGTCCCGTCCCCCAAATGCTCCGGCTTCCGCCTCGGCCCGGGCAACCGCCGTTCCCGGCTCGGCTGTGGCGGCCCCAGCTTGGCGCTTGCCAGCTCTGTCCCGACGGCGAGGCACCTAGGGGGCTCGGCCGGCAGCCCCCGGTGTAGGCTTCACCGTCGCGTTGCCGCCCGGGGCACTTGCCTCCTGCTAGATGTGTCCGGGGTGGAAGAGTTAGATGGAGTGGCTCCGACCCGGGCTTTTGCGGGGCTGTCCGGTTGTGCAGGGTGCGGGGCGTCCGACTGCGAAAGGAAAGGCCAAGTCCTTTGGGGCAAAGGACCCTGAGAGGGAGTGAAGAGGCGGATCCAGGAAACAAACAACCCCACCGCTAGAAATAGCTGTTACTGTCCCTGAAAACAGTGAGATTAGCCCTGGCGTGGGCTGCCACCCAGAGTCCAGAAGAAGGCTTGTTGAGTTGGAAATGACCACTTCTCCCATCCTGGCCGAGACCTTGAGTTTGAGGAGAGCCGAAAGCTCTCTCAGTGCTATTAACCAGGAGAGGGGAAGAAACAACAGAAAGAAAAAAAAAAAATGGGGCCAGAGGATCCCAGAGTCCTAAGAGACTAACCCCTTCCTGGCTTCATGGATCCCTTACATAATACTACCTTTTTTTTTTTTTTTAAGATTTTATTTATTTATTTGACAGAGGGAGACACAGCGAGAAAGGGAACACAAGCAGGGGGGAGTGGGAGAGGGAGAAGCAGGCTTCCCTTGGAGCAGGGAGCCCGATATGGGGCTCGATCCCAGGACCCTGGGATCATGATCTGAGCCACCCAGGTGCCCCACAGCACTACCTTTTGAAGGCCTTTTGATATCTTTGTTGGAAACCCTCCAACCACGGCAGTCCATTCTGATGGTGGACAAACTAAAATTAATGTTCTAGGTCCAGTTTGATCATCAAATTGTAGAGCAGGATTATCCCTTTCCTCTTTTTTTTTTTTAAGATTTTATTTATTTATTTGACAGAGGGATAGAGAGAGGGCACAAGTAGGCAGAGCAGCAGGCAGAGGGAGGGGGAGAAGCAGGCTCTCCACTGAGCAGGGAGCCGGATGCCGGGCTCGATGCCAGGACCCAGGGATCATGACCGGAGCCCAAGGCAGCTGCTTAACCAACTAAGCCGCCCAGGCGCCCCTATCTCTTTCCTCTTAACACAATGCCTCTGTAAATGAAGCCTACGTCTGTTTATATTGCACATGATTAAAACTACCTCTGTAAAGACAGAGCAGGAAAATAAAATTAAACTGTGTTAGAAAAATAACTAGCTTTAAAATTTTCTGTATTATGACCTTGAGAAAATCCCTGGATGTGGAACTTTATATTAGATCTTAATGTTTGTCCAAATATTCTGGAACAAAATATGGCTGGTACAAAATAGTAATAGCTAGGCACTACTCTAACATATCTATCTATTTATATTTTTTTAATTCAAAAAATGGTACTCAGTAAATATGTGTGGTTGTAAGGGGAAAGAGAGATATAAATGTTTTAAAAATACACCAGCAGAGGTCAATTGGTTAAGCGACTGCCTTCGGCTCAGGTCATGATCCTGGAGTCCCAGGATGAGTCTGCTTCTCCCTCTGACCCTCCTCCCTCTTATGCTCTCTGTCTCTCATTCTCTCTCTCTCAAATAAATAAAATCTTAAAAAAATAAATAAAAAATACACCAGCAGAAAAATATACCTTAAGACACGAATACGTTTTTTATTTATTTTTCTTTTTATTTATTTTTTAAAGATTTTATTTATTTATTTGACAGAGCCAGAGACAGCAAGAGAGGGAACACAAGCAGGGGGAGTGGGAGAGGGAGAAGCAGGCTTCCTGCGGAGCAGGGAGCCTGATATGGGGCTCAATCCCAGGATCCTGAGATCATGACCTGAGCCCAAGGCAGACGCTTAACGACTGAGCCACCCAGGCGCCCCATGAATACATTTTTTAGATTAAAGAAAGACCTTTCAGTTAGAAAGCTTTACAATGAGAAAAATGAGAAGTGGAAGCAGTTATAATTATGAAACAGTAACGTGTGTTTTGACATCTGGGACAGGCATGAAATTGAAAATGACCAAAACTCTATATAAACAAAAGGGATGATGAAAATAGAGGGCCAATTTTTTTTTTTAAGGAAATAGAGGGCCAAATATACGAAACCTACAACTGCTGTAAAGTTATGTGCCCTAGCACTGATGACCAAAAGAAAGTAATACTTTCATTAGCCTTTCCTGGCTTTACAATTTATACTCATAAACCTACTGAACTGCTTTGAGTTTCCCTGTATATACCATCCATAGGAACTTTTCCTATTTCTCATGCTGTTCACTAAGTGTAGAATATGTTTCCACTGCTCCTGCATATTTTTTATAGCTAGCCCATTCCACTTTTAATTCTCTGCCCAGATGTTATCACAAACTTGAAGCCTTTTCTAGCCTCCTTCCTCCCAGGGGTCTGATCTCCTTCTCTGGTCTCATAGTGTTGTGAGGCACCCTGTGCCTACCTAGATAATTTTACTTCATTGTATTGTGATCTGTTTCATATCAATTCTTTCTAACACTTTCCTTGAGATCAGTGCTATCTCATTTATCTCTGGATCTTCAGCATTTAGCACCCTGGTTAGCACATGGTAGAAACTCAGTACATATTTCCCGAACTGAGCTGTTGGTGATGATGTCAAAGACAAGACAGACAGTACAAAAGCTTGCCAGGGAAGAATGTGAGCAGAGCCTGAACTGCAAGTCTAGGCACCCAACACATTCAAAGAAGTTAAGTCAGTACCCAACATCTGAAACTCTTCTAATAACATAAATTTACTAAGGATTGTCCCTTTGAGTAGCTTGCCTATATCATCTCATCTAACCTTCAGAACAGCCCTGTAAAGTAGGCATTAGTGTCTGTGTTTTACAGAAAGAGAAACGGAGGCTTAGTGACATTCAATAATTTACTGAAGTTCCCAGACTTACTGAAAGATAAACTGGGATTCAAATCCCAATTTGTCTGCTTTTAAAGTCCATGCTCTAAAACACTACATTTAGCTGTTATAGAAAGAAAAAATGGCTGTGGCGCCTGGGTGGCTCAGTTGTTAAGCGTCTGCCTTCAGCTCAGGTCATGATCCCAGCGTCCTGGGATCGAACCCCCGCATCGGGCTCCCCGCTCTGTGGGAAGCCTGCTTCTCCCTCTCCCACTCCCCCTGCTTGTGTTCGCTCTCTCACTGTGTCTCTCTCTGGCAATTAAATAAACAAAATCTTGAAAGAAAGAAAGGAAGGAAGGAAGGAAGGAAGGTAGGAAGGAAGGAAAGAAAGAAAAAATGGCATAGGAAAAGAATGAGAAAAAATGTGGCAGACGGCAAAAGTGGCAATAGAGTTAAGAAGTGTCAGTGAGGGGCACCTGGGTGGCTCAGTCCTTAAGCGTCTGCCTTCGGCTCAGGTCATGATCCCAGGGTCCTGGGATTGAGCCCCACATCGGGCTCCCCGCTCAGCGGGAAGCCTGCTTCTCCCTCTCCCACTCCCCCTGCTTGTGTTCCCTCTCTCGCTGTGTCTCTCTCTGTCAAATAAATAAATAAAATCTTTAAAAAAAAAAAAAAAGAAGTGTCAGTGAAGGGACACCAGGGTGGCTCAGTCGGTTAAGTGTCTGCCTTCAGCTCAGGTCATGATCCCGGCATCCTGGGATGGAGTCCCACATCGGGCTCCTTGCTTAGTAGGGAGCCTGCTTTCCCCTCTTCCGCTCTCTCTCCCTCTCTCTGACAAATAAATAAAAATATTAGGGAAAAAAAAGTGTCAGTGAAGAACAGAGATAGCCATGAAGGAAGGGAGAAAAACAGCAATCTGGGAACACTGGGGCGGAGGACTAGCTTTAGCCTCCCTATAATAACAGCTCTGAGAGGCAAAATTTTGGCTACTTAAAGACAGATAAAGTTGAGCAACATATGGGCCTGAGGATAGGCAGGGTCAAACAAGACTAAGTATCTCAACAGGACTTGATTAGAGTTGCCAAATAAAATACAGGACACCTAGTTAAATTTGAATTTCTTTTTTTTTTTTTTAAGATTTTATTTATTTATTTGAGAGAGAGAGAGAATGAGAGATAGAGAGCACGAGAGGGAAGAGGGTCAGAGGGAGAAGCAGACTCCCTGCTGAGCAGGGAGCCCGATGTGGGACTCGATCCTGGGACTCCAGGATCATGACCTGAGCCAAAGGCAGTCGCTTAACCAACTGAGCCACCCAGGCACCCTGAATTTCAAATAAACAATGAATAATTATTGAATATATGCAATATTTGGGATATACTTATACTAAAAAAAATTGGTCTATCAGAAATTCAAATTTAACTGGGTATCCTATATTTTTATTTGCTAAATCTAAGAATCTGATTGAAAGCATGAGTGGTTCCCAGTGATGCCCCACAAAAATTAAGACCAAATCAAATTATATTTGGTGCTGTTGACACTGCAAGCTTTATGCACACAAAGTGACATTTCCCAGATCAGTATCTTTAGGCAGAGCTGGTAGTTTAGGGACTTTTTTTCTTTTTAAGTTCATTTACGTATTTATTTTAAGACTTTATTTATTTATTTGACAGAGAGAAAGAGCACAAGCAGGGTGAGCAGGAGAGGGAGAAGTAGGCTCCCTGCTGGGGATCATGACCTGAGCCGAAGGCAGACACTTAACCAACTGAGCCACCCAGGTGCCCCTATTTACTTTTTTTTAGTAATTTCTATACCCACTGTGGGGCTCAAACTCATGACCCTAAGATCAAGAGTCATGTGCTCTTCCCACTGAGCTGCAAGGCGCCTTGATGGCCTAAGACTCAGTAGGAAAAAAAGGAAAGGAAAGACAACAAATAAGAAAGAACAAAGATTATGGTCATATATTTTTAATGGATATCTGTCCTAACAGTTAAAATACAAAACATTTCAGTGCTTAGAGATAAACCCCAGGTTTCCAGGTGTC